CGCGCGCGCTAACAAACAAACAAAGACACGCACGCAAACAAACAAAAACACACAGAGGGCGTATAGGCCAAGGAATTTATGGACACCACAGGAAAAATTTTAAGCCAGCTTTGGCAGTCACCTTGGTGATTTGCTGTTGATCCCGATTTTTTTCACCAAATCCCGATTTTTTTCTCCCTGAGATCCTGATTTTGAGGTTTCATATAGTGGCAGGTCTGTATATTTATGGAGTGATTTTTGTTCCAGGCAGCTTTTATATTTACCATGACAGTTGACCTCTATCAGGGACACATGCTTTTAAGACTAATATCTCACTGGCTCAAAGTACATGTGAAAATTATATTTAGAGTGATTATGTAACGAGATAGAGAGAAGGGTCATTTTTAGATTGTATGACAGAAAGTCGGGCTTGGCTTTGATTGCCTCAACATTTTTTTACTATAATTGTTATCATTAGGCTTTTGGCTTCAAATTGTAGAAGGCTGACGTAGAAAATTTTGAATTTGAAAAAACACAAGTTGGGTGAAAAGTTCACACCGTCTCTTTAAAGGATTTTTTTAGAGAATGATATTAAGTATCCAATAGTAGAGTGTAGAGTCTTGTTTATAAAATGTCTTCCCTTTCTAAAAGCCTGTAGAAACGAACTTCATTTGCGTCTGTGTCTTTCTTCTAAAAGATATATGATGCAGTATGGCCGCATTCTTCAGAGACAGGAGCTGGAGGCCTTCCTTGCCATGTCCGTTTCTCCATTGTTGCATGATGTTCAAACCATGCAAGATTTGAAGGTAAGTGATGTCAGCTTGTTCACACTTTTATGGACAGTATCAGATTGGTTTTGCTGTTTCTTGTACATGAAGATTGAGGTCATGAGCAAATGATTTTGAATCTGATGCTTCTGGAGCTAAAATGTTACTGAAATTGAAATTTTGCCATTAAATGCATATTTATCCTCAATAGTGTTTGTTTTACAGTCATAGAGTCCTGGTGTGTCAGTATGCTTATATATGATTAAAATTGAAACTGGTAAGATATAATTGAGGTTGACATGATGAAAATGTGATCCGGACCTCTGAACAT